GATGCAAGTCTTCATGTTGTGAGCAATCACCTACAGTCAACCCTGAAGTGAAAGGTAGTTTTTAGAATAAGCTGAGACTTGGAAAGGTAGGCAACATTCATAGCTGCTTTTACTCTACTCTTGCTTTTGCTCCTTGATCAGCTATTTGCTTCATGAGCTCTTTGGTTTTGTTTTATGGATTTTACACACAAGAAAGCCAGGTTAAGTCGCTGGCATTAACTGTTTTCTAAAACAGTCTAACAATTAGTTGCTTACCAGCATTATCATAGAGCTTGAAAGAACCCAAGCTTCTCCATCCAAGAAATCCATTTGAAATAGAAAAAATTCCTAAAAGTTTTTCCCTCAGTACTCCATTTAACTTCATATGCTCATGCACACATGCATCAAACAGGTTTTTTATATATACACAAAGAAGTGACTGAAACATCTGGCATGGCACAGGTACACATTAACATATGAAGATATGCATATGTTATGAATAAATGTAAGCTAATTAGGCCTCCAATGATATAAACATAATACATGCCATTAATGCAAGCAGAGCCCATGCCAGACTTCACTTCCTAAAACTAAGTATGTGCCTAAGACGACATTGGAGAAATTACATTAATCTTAAGTAAAATTACAAGGACAGTAAACAAGTGCTTTGCAAGGGGTGGGGAGTATCCCAAGTCAACTTCATTTGAATCAAAAAAGATGCAGGTTAACTGACAATATAAAACCAAGCATTTTATCAACATGCTTTGAGTGCTGTAAACCTGCTTGTTTGAATTTTAAAAGGCAAGAATTTATCAGTTTCAGGAATTTTTTGTTCTACCCAAATTAAAGAGGGATGAAATTTAATCTAAAGTTTCTTTTGCAGCCTTACGTTTCAGAATAACTGTTGACATCACTCTGGTATGTTTTTAAAATTGATCACTACATCTGTGTACCTACAATTAGAAACCACAAGTAAGTGCGTATTTTGAACTGTCTAAGGGTTTACTTCCCTTAGAAATTAATGGGGAGGGAAAAGCAAGAAATAAAATGATTAATGCCAGCATGGTATACACAGCCATATTTATTAGTTCACTTCCAATTACATAAAGAGAAAGCTGAAGCCATACACAAGTGCTGCTTTAAAATAAAGACAGACTACTGTTTTCTCCAACAGTTTTATTTCAAAAAGTACACAAGTCTGTCATGGAACTACAGCATTTTAAAATTTTGGATTTTGTTTTTACAAATTTACTCACAATATTTGTATTTTAAAATACCATTTCCCCTATAGTGTGAATATAAAACCTCATACTGAAATTCATATCAATATTCAAGTCCATGCTTTGTGCATGAGAAGCATAACGTAATGTCATAACATTTTGGATTCCAGGAAATATTATTGCTCCAATTTCAATTGAGATGTGCCTCAATGCTGGAGGACCAATAACCAAAGGGTCCCATAAAGCACCTATCAAGTGTATAAAACAAGGTTTAAGTGACACAAATAGTAGTATGTCTTTAGACTGGAACAAAGATCTAAAGTGATCCAGAATATACACTGTTGAGAACAAAAACCAAAAGCCTATCATGGAAACCAGTAATACACAATATTCAGCATTACAGAAAACTTGCAATTAAGAAGTCTTACTTGTACTATTAAGCAGAAAGCATACATCTAACATGAACGCCACTAGAGGTGATAAAGATGTATGCATTGTACGTTTCTTTCAAAAGTCATGTTTTACCCCTCCAACAAGGCATTTCTGTGCACTACACAGTATTGGAAGAAGTATTCATTTTTAGGTAAAGAAGTTTCACACAAATATCTTCAAATATCTATTTCAGAAAGTTTATGAAAATGCTTGTAATGTATAGACAAGTGTTATGTAACCTCTACAGTATTACAAGTCTAACACTTTATTCACACCATGCTAAAATTGAGGTTTTTCTTCGATATATAGTAGTCCTCAACAGGCAAGTTTACAGTCATGACATTAACTAGAGGCTTCTTGAGTTCACTTACAGTATTTACATAATGGTACCACCCCACCCTTTTTTTTTTCTTTTTATTAAAATGAGACATTAAAAATGCCACCTTCTAACTGGTATATCAGCTGCCATTACTTCCTAGAAGAGTTCTGTTGGTGGAGTTATCTGTAAGATCGGACACCTCACATGTTTAAACAGTTCATCTCCTACGCAGCTAGAAATCACTGCTGAACTATAGTAGCTGCTTTTGAGAATCATAATGCAGTGTAAGTGAACAATCTATTGGCTAAACAAAATAATTTATAATAGCAGTATTGTATTTCCATGGTAGTGTTGTATCTGTTCAAAAAGGCATGATGATACCAACTTGAGGCAAAGTTTACCCCAAGTCAGAGGTTCCTTATTTCAGATAAGGACTATGTCAGATTCTATTTCTTTTATTTTCTGTGCAATTACATAAATAGACAGACACTGTCAAGGCTGCTAAACCTAACAGCTAGGCTCTGAGGGCACATCACGCTGTCCTTCTGTCCATTTATTATTTTGTACAAGCTGACAGAGCATTAAGCATGTGTAAACTCTGCTCTGTATAGTGAGATAAGTTTCTGTTCTTGAGTGTCCTAGGGCTCACCTGACTGAAAGCACAGGGTTTCAGGCCAAACAAAAAAAAAAAAAAAACCCCACAAACAACCCCTCCCCCTCAGAAAAACAAACCAAAACAAACCAAAAACAAACCCAAAACCACCACCACCAAAAGCAAACAAACAAAAACCAAAGTCCACATCTAATCTCATGTATGTCCACAGATGGCTAAGAACCAAATTCAGTAGGTTTGTTGCTTAGGTTTATAGCTATCTCTCAGTCTGTGATTCAGTTTAGTTTTGTAGTCAACAAGTATAATAACTATACCCTTTTAATTAAGGAAGGCCTTAGTTTCAAGGTAAACAATCAGTGTATGATTAAAATTTCAGAAGTCTCTTCTATCACAACAATTGGATGCAAGAAGATGTCTCCTCATCTATTGTTCTTCATAAGCATATGTTTGGCACAGTTGCTAAACCTATTATTTACCATGCAAGTAAAAGTCAATCATTCATCTCACTGGTACAACAACTGAACAGTTTTCAAGAATATAAACACTTAGATCATAATTAGCAATTGAAGGAGTAACTGACATTTTGAAATACAGAACAATACAGAGAGAGCCACTGAAGTCGCATCCAAAAATAGGCATGAAGAGGTATAAATAGTACATAAGAATCAAAAAATCAGATCACAGTGTCATGTTTTAAGAACTGTACCATCATCTAAGCACCTGTTCAACCAGTAAATTTAGGCACCAGAAATTTCATAAAAACTGAAGTTACAATCAGGCAAAGTTTATTGAAAAGGCACACATGAAAGATAAAAAACCTGATCTCTAACAGTATCAGTTTACAATCTAAAAAAGTCCCAAATGTGTAAAACTAAGTCTAGAATACTTAATAGCCATTCAAGTTTCTAAATTCAGTATGAAGGGTATGTTCTTTACATTAATAGTGCCAGCCAAAAATTGTGCACCTAACTACAGATAGGACAAACATTTAGTAGTAAGCCAAAGAATTTATCACAGATCTATAAGCAGCTACAAAAAAAGCAGACACTAAACCTAGAAGTTTGAAGAAATGTCTTCTTTCACACTGTTGCTACATACAAATAATCCTAACATCTTTCAACAGGCTATTCAGGTATTTCCTTCATCAACATCAGTGCCACATACTATATGCCTTTAGAGTTTTCCAAAATACCTTGCAGTTTAACATCTATAGCTAGAACAAGCTGAAGGGACTCCCCGTTCCGCCCCAGCACAGGATCAAGAAAGAAAGTAGGTAATAGGAAGAAAAAAATCCACAAAAGATTCAAACTGCACTAAGCTTTAAATCCAGCTTAGTATATAGTATATAATATCAGTCCTCAGAAGCTATCAAAAGTCCTTAAGTATGTGTGAAAGTAAGATAAGGAATTGTTCTGTTCCTCCTGTAGTGCTTTAAGTTTGTAAAACTGGGAAGAAGAGTTTTTAATCTTGAAACATGAGATTTGTATCAACAATTCTGGATACCTATTTCCTCTCAGACTCTAGTTACATGAAACTCTGGCTCTTAAAAGTCTAAATGCCTGTTAAAAATATTTAGGGTTGTTTGAGAGGCAAGGAGAAACGAGCTTTAAATTCCTTGCAAATTCATACAGAAAGTTATTAAGTTAGTAAAGTCTAACTACTGCTTACACATATATGGGAAAGATGTTTCCAAAGTGATGTTAGAGCAAGGAAACAGATACCAAATACCAGTTACTTAACAGCTTTCATTAAAACCCTATGGATTTTCTCGGTAATCAGTTTGGAAAAAAGTAAGAGTACTGCCTTAGAATCTAAACAGGCTTTGGAATATGCAAGGTACGATTAACTTAAGACCTGTAGAGACATATATATTCATTCCTACTGTGAGAGTAACAGTTGATCTATAGATTCTAAAGCTTAGATACCACTACCAACAATCTGATAGGACCTCTTGCATCAGATAACCTAAGTTATGTTATCTGACATGACTAGAACTAGTGATGACAGAAAAAGTCATGTTTCAAAGAGCTTGCAAAGTCTCCAGTCACATTTCCACTCACTGAAATTTTAAATTCAGAATAGATTCATTGAATTAATTAAACCAATCAAATAACTGGTAGCCCCTGAAATAAGAGCTCAAGAAGTGCTCCAAACAACCATTACCAGGTTAAAGAACTGTATAAGTACTCAGAGTCTGAACAGAATTCAAAGTCATCATCAGCATTTCAGCCCTCTGCAACTTCATCAGACAGTGGCCAAGTTAAAATACTGTTACTCCAAAATTGAGGATAAAGTTTTAGGAACTCTGTGAAACTTCACGGTCTACATATGAAATGCTTTTGTTACTTCTCATTTGTGTCTCGCTGTTACAAATTCACAACTGAACATTAGCCAACAGTGTCTCTTCAGCAACCTACCAGAGGTCCAAATACCTTCAGTGTCCGATATTTATTTAGGAACATCAATGCTTTTAGCAAATAGTTCAACTGTCATATACTAGTAAGTTTAAAATTAAAAATGAGAATTGGTGGCTTTTCAAACTAACTTGTTCATTTTCTTCAAGGAAAATTGCATGCCATTGTTTAAATGAGGGATGGAACATGGTAGTTTTCTCTAATACTTACAATGAACACTTAAAAAACAGCATTTAAATTAATAATATTTTATACTATGGACCCATCTTTGCTTTGTGCTGGAATCATCACAGGAACAGCTCCCATTCTACTTAAATTAGGTGCAGCTACCTTTGAAGGTGCAAAGGTTGGGTTTTGACCAGGAGCACGTTCAAAGTCTTCACTTGGGACTTGGCTATATGGAGTTTTGGTATATCCTTCCATATTTGAGGGAGACATCGAACCCAGAGAAGAACGATTGCTCCCCATGTAGCTGCGGGCTGTTGAACTGCGACTTTTTGGAGGTGGAACATCTTCTCTGAAATAAATAAAAAAACCCAGAACAGTTGGAACAAGAGTTCAGTCACTATTACTATGTCGAAGCTTACAAAACAAATTTTCAGTTTGTTTCTTTCTACTCTGACACAGTAACCAAGAGAGGCTCACATATTAAGTTAAAAAAAAAATACAAGTATTAATTGCTTTTAAAATCTTTACTGAAATTAGACATGACTACTACACCATATTCAAAACAAAAAGTTCCCTGACAAGCTGTTAGTATGTTACTAAGCTTTCCAGATTAAGACAGAAGTCTCAACTGTTAAGTATCTTACTTGCAGAAATACACACTTAAAAGTTAATCTTCAAATAATCCTGCTCAGAAATTAAAGATATATCATTACCTGATATCGTGATGTACTTCTTTCTCATATTTCTTCTCTCTCTGTTTCTTACAGTAACAGAAGACAAGAAAAGCCAGTACAGAAAGACCCAGCAGAGTTCCTATAACAGCTCCAGCAATTATAGCAGCTGTATTTATAGCTAGAATAGATAAGTAACAATACTGTTTGTTAAGTGTTGAATTTATATGACCAGCTTCTTTTCTTTCAACATTAAAAGCAGTATATTTCTACGTGATCCAGTTTAAACAGTATATCACTGAATCACAGAGGGTATGCTTCAATTACATGCATGTAAAACAGTAATAAGAGTTACAGCTTTCTGCATGAAAAGCAACATTTCAGGAAGTAAAGACTTGAAGCAGCAACCATCAGTTAGACAACAGGGTTGGTTTTTTTACCTTTTAGGAGTTTAGAGAAACAAAATTATTCCATTTTAATACACAAAACACTCTATGACCATTACACAGCAAACACTTACGAGGGGTGACATTCAGCTCAACAGAACATTCATCCGTGCCAACTCTGTTCGAAGCAATGCAACTATATGTGCCAGAATAGTCTTGAGAGGCATTTTTCAAGAGAAGTTCCCCTGTATTTTTATCTACAAACAATAAAAGGTAATGGTTTACCATTTTCCAAAGTTTAATTCCATATTCAATACTACAGAATAAGCGAACCAGCACATAGATGAAGTCTTAACTAAAAAAATGCCATATTAAAAATACCCAAATAAAAACAAAAGTCTATCATGCTGCAAAATACTATTATTTGTAAAAGCCTTTTACCTTGTTAGAAATTTATTCCTCAACCTACAGGGTAATTGGTCTGTCAACAGAATGGAACAAACGCTTAATGTGGCAAATTCCCTCACCCTAACACAGAATTCTAAAATACAAAAGATTAACTGCATCCCAGAAGTACCTCCTTCTCTTTTCTCTGTCTAAACTGGTTCTACACAACCAGCCCTGACGCCTGCAGAACCCTTGTTCAACACGAGGTGGATCTAACCTAAACACTGCACTCCAATGGGTGACCAATTAAGTTTAGCTATGCTGACAGAGTAGGAGACATGAATCGGTAATCACAAAAAGAGTATTTCCCCAGGGCTTCTAAAGCCATTGACAACTACCTTTGTGAGATTCTACTATATGAACTTCAAATTGTTTACATGCTTTAATTGCCAACAGATTTGCCATCACCACTGCAAGAGACTACATCACAGGAACAAAGCACCAAACAAATACTCAGCTCTCCCAGCTGAACAAGAAGTTAGGTAGAATTTAGATTCTTGAGAACACGTTCAGTGTCCCCAAACCTATATTCACAAGCCCAAAGCAAACATTGTTTTCTCAAGTTACATGCCACTTTTGCATACTTCCTTGGTCATTCTTGTCCAGCACTGATACTGTCAATTGATTTTTTTGTTACCATGAGAAAATTTGGGATGTCAAGAAAGAAAGGGAATAACAACATAAGCTTAAGATCTTGAGAAGGACATTAGTGATCAACTGTTCACTGTCAAAACAATAAATAAGAGATATCAAACAGCACTACCAGGAGGTAAGATCAAAACGAAGGACAAGGTTCTTCATATGTAGCTGATTTTTTAGAGATCTGTGTTCTAAGGTATTACAAACTGTAATAGACAATAAAAGTTTAAAGGAGATTGAAGACGTTCACAGAAGTCAGTTTTTGTTTGTTTTAAATCAACTAAACTGAAACTACATCTGAATTTCCTGAGGTATAAGTTAAGGGAGAGTAAGAGACCACACAAGTTCTTACCCTCTCTTCCCTAGACACCCACTTTGGCTACTTTTAAACATATGATACCACTCTGTCCTGTATGTCCTGCACAACCTAGGTTATGTCTATTTGTAAGCAGATTCTTAAACTGCTTCATCTGCAAGGAAAAACACACCAACTCAAGGTTTAAGGTTTTTGTAACTACAAAGAAGATCAAAAAGAATTGGTACTGAGCAGGACAACACTTTAAAAAAAAAAAGATATTCTGGAATAACTTTCACAAAGCTTAAACTCACAAATTAACCTTCTACAATTAAATTCTCACAAGAAAAATCCAATACCACCACTATAATAACTTGGGATCCATCAGTCAAAATTCATAATGTATAGCTCTTTCCGGGATTAAGAAGAAGGTAAGCCTTTTCTTCTCCTTTACTTTGGACAACTTTTCTTCTAAAGATTTGTAACCCTTTTTAAGGAAGAAGTTTTGTCACTTGATCAGAAAGTGAAGACCTCAGTTCAATCTCTAATAAAATTAAAGTCTTTTATCTCTGTTTCCCTGAAGGCAGCTCTTACCACTGGTCTCAACTCTCTTCTTACTCTTCCCCACTGCCCATCTGAACACAAAAGCAACCAATATCACCAAGCAAGAGAACTTGCAATACTCAGGCACAGAACAGCATGATTCTGCAGCCTAATGGTAAGAATCTCAACTTAAAGTTTGAAACATTTCCCACTATGGGGAAAAAAAAAAGCAACTTGTTTCAAAGTCAGTTTTATTACCCAGTGAGAGGGCAGAAGTGACACTTCACTTGACTGCTCTATACTAAAATTAAGCATGAGATGCTTGCAAGTCAAGATAAGCCAAAACCACAAATACAATCTTTCTTAAGTATTTCAGAATAATAAAGTTTGACAGTACTCAGCATGGAAGTGGCAGGTAGTTCCTGTGTCCCAGATACTCTTCTCCAGTCATAAGACAAAAGCGGGGATCCTTCTTGCGATGCACACTTCAAGGTAACGTCTTTTCCAATCTCCTGTGATCCTTCAATGGAACATTTAGTTCTTGCTGGCCTTACTAATAAACAAAGTATTATTAAATTAATAATAGTTACAATAAAAATGTTTGCTAGTTGTGTTCTAGTAGGCCAGTCCATTTTGCTAAAGACAAAGCTTGTGCAACAAACCATTTCTATGCATGGAAAGATTTTCTATAAAATACAAGCCACATGTAGAACTTTTCAAATGCTCGTTATTCTGAGTATTGTTCCCTTCATCCCACGGACCAGAATCGTATCTAACTGTATTGGGTTTGCACAGCAAGGTTTTAGTAGCAGAAGGGCTGCAGGCGTGGCTTCTGTGGGAAGCTGCTAGAAGCTTCCCCCATGTCCAGTAGAGCCAATGCCAGACGGCTCCAAGATGGACCCATCGCTGGCCAGCAATGGTGGTGATGCCTCTGGCATAACATAGTTAAGGGAAAAAAAAAACCTCCAGGGAGCAGCATTTCCAGCCAGGGAGAGGAGTGAGAACATGAAGGAGAGGGAGGAGGTGCTCCAGGTGCTGGAGCAGAGATTCCCCTGCAGCCTGTGGTGAAGATCATAGTGAGGCAGGCTGTCCCCCTTGTAGCCCACGGAGGTTGATGGTGGAGCAGATATCCACCTGCAACCCATGGAGGACCCCACACCAGAGCAGGTGGATGCCCCCGAAGGCGGCTGTGACCCTGTGGGAAGCCCACGCCTGAGCAGGCTCCTGACAGGACCTGTGGCCCTGTGGAAAGAGGAGCCCACGCTGGAGCAGGTTTGCTGGCAGAACTTGTGACCTCACGGGGGACCGATGCTGGAGCAGTCTGGTTCTGAAGGACTGCACCCTGTGGAAGGGACCCACGCTGGAGCAGTTCATGAAGAACTGCAGCCCATGAGAAGGACTCGCATTGGAGAAACTGGTGGAGGACTGTCTCCCATGGGAGGGACCCCATGCTGGAGCAGGGGAAGAGTGCGAGGAGTCCTCCACCTGAGGAGGAAGGAGCAGCAGAGACAACATGTGATGAACTGACCACAACCCCCATTCCCCATCCCCTGTGCCGCTGAGAGGAGGAGGTAGAGAAACGGAGTAAAGTTAAGCCCAGGAAGAAGGAAGGGGTGGGGCAAAGTGTTTTAAGATTTGGTTTTATTTCTCATTATCCTACTCTGATTTGTTTGGTAATAAATTAAATTAATTTTCCCCAAATTGAGTCTGTTTTGCCCGTGATGGTAACTGGTGAATGATCTCTCCCTGTCCTTATGTTGACCCACAAGCTTTTCATTATATTTTCTCTCCCCTGCCCAGCTGAGGAGGGGAGTGATAGAGTGGCTTTGGTGAGCACCTGGCCTCCAGCCAGGGTCAACCCACCACACTACCCTCCTCAAGGCCTCAATAATGGTTGCATTGTTATAGATTCACTATGACTTTGCCCCACAGGTGTTTTCGTTTTATGTATCAAATATAGGATGGAATAAACACCAAAAAAAGTATCACTGAAAACTCAAGAAAAAACATTATCTTACCAAGGACAGTCAACTGTATTTTTTGGCTTTGAACTCCAGGAGCCTTCTTCACTTTGCACTGGTATGTGCCAGTGTCTGCTGACTTTAAATTCAGGATATCCAACGAACCATCACCAGATCTGGGATCAGGATTAGTAAACTGCATCCGTTCAGTCATAGCAGCATAATAATGATTATAAATCCTGTCTACAGCATACATAATTATCTAGAAAAAAAGAAATATGATTCAGAAATCCACTTGGCATTTAAATATTCAAAATAATTTGGTATCTTCAGATCCTTGACAGTTTCTTTCTACTGTTTTACATAGTCCCAGAAGCGTGACATAGCCAAATACCTCAATCTTAAAAACATCGTACACAATACTCTAGTGAACACTCCAACCAAGTAGCGGCATGTCGGCATTGACTTCTAGCTGAAAGAAAACTGCCTAAAATTGCTCTAATCCTCATTCTGTCAAACCTCTCTACTAAAAGGAGTCATCTTTTTGATAAGGCTTCTGAAGAAAGGAAAGAGTTAATAACTAACAAAAAGAGTTAATATCTTTAAAATCAAATTCACTGAAATCGGTTCTCAATCATGAAAATAATGCAGGTACAAAAGCATAGTTTATTTTCTGTAACTGAAGTGGTTTTAATTTTAGAGTTCTCGTTTAGAAGACAAGTTTATAGTTGAAGAAATTTCTTCACATTTCACACAATCTGCCATTCCACTATAGCTTCCACTATATTTCATATGACTGGTGCTTCAAAGTAATTTAAGATCACAAGCATCTCAACCTGAAAAGGTGAAAGTTTAAAAAGTCAGTAACAAAGTTCATACGTTGCTGACCTACTCAAACAATTGAATTAACACTGTACAAAAAAAGTCTCTACTTACTATTTGTTCCTTCTTTTGATTATCTGCTGGTATCAATACCCACTCAATATCTAGTGGGCCTTCATCTTCTTCTGAGAGTACAAAAGTACATGGCAACGTAACTTTCTCTCCTTGTGCTTTTTCAAACGTTGATTGGTCAAGTGAAGTTATGCTTAGGCTTCTTGTTAGACCTATAAAAATATATTTTTGTTTTAAAAACACTTCACATGTAGTTTCACTGTAAGTGTTCTACTATATATTTTTATACATTCAAATCCATCATATACTTTTCCTGTATAGAAATCATGTCATTAGTCAGACTTGTCACTGCTTAAGAGATCCTGTGCAGTACATTACTGAACACAATGCAAAGTCATGTACTGTTCATTTGGAATCGTATTCAACAGGTAGTTACATCTTTCAAACCATACTTTTTTTTTTTTTTACAATTCAAGTCCTATATGAAGATAAATCAAAATTTTCAGCAACAGTTTTTTCAAGTTATTAGAAAACCACCCTACCACTACTCCCCCCTCATTGGTAAAATGAGAGCATGGAACAGTGATGAAGTCTGCCAGGGTGGACGGAATTAATGTGAAGTCCTGGGTTAGATCAAGTTAAGTTACTCTGCCTTGAGGGCTGTTCTATCTACAGGTAGTGGACAAATCAATCCTTTCCAAAAATCTTCATGAGTTTTTAGATCTGTTTGCCTTTTCTGCTTGTCTTACTCCTCAAAACAACACTGTGTAATCCTTACCTGCATGCCTCCAAGCAAACCACGTTTCCAAACAACAAATTTTCCTCAATTCAGCCCTGAAAAATAATCCATATAGTGTGACCCAAACAGACTTACTCGAAAGGTCTGAATCAAGATTCCCCCTCTTTTAAAACAAACACGCAATCACAATCAGGAAGTGGAAAGTTCCATTTGCCCGTTATGGAAACAGGTTTGGCATTTGTACATCCACTGTTTTGTCCATCTTGCTGTGTACCAAGCCCAGATTTTCACAGTCATTTGATGCATGTAGGTTGCTGCCCATCACAGCTAGACAGTCACACAGGTATTTCCACAGCCAGAACAGATGCAAGGCCACACGAAGAGTGGCCAGTGAGAAAATAGATCAATTTGGTGCATCTGTAGAATCACAGCCTCAGATGGAATAAAATTAAAAATTACTATAAGTAGTGAGCTTATGCTCTAACTTGCACTTCTGCGCTAGCTCAAGTTATTATCTAACTTGCACTTGTTCGTTTAGTAGAGAAGCTACTAGTAGTAGGTTTCTGCAGTAGATCAGACTGCAACAGCGATGCTCCCACCTTACTAAAAATTTTGCTCTGCACAAAGTCTTTAGATTCTTTTCCTGATGTCCAAAATTATCTTTAACAGGCATTTATAAATAATAATAATAATAAATCATTCAAAAAGAGAAGCACCTGACATACTAAATTCCACACAAAAGCCTCCAAGAAAAGACCTTCGCAATTGTTAATTACAAACGTACAGTTACAAATTAGGTAGGATTATTTTACTTCCTACCATTCATGGTATTGTTTTGCATGGTATTACCTTAATTCCAGAAAAAAAACCCCAAGAACATAAATTTGAGTTACAGAAGAGATTTAGCTTCAATGTTTCTTACCAACACATGTACACCTTTTCAAAAATAATTCTAACATGTTTATATCACCTTTTTTCTGACCACAATAAACATATCTAAACAACTAATTCTCTGCTACTAGGCTAAATTAATACTCTTTCCTAAATGGTACTGATCTCCATGAATACTAGTTGACTTGCCATAGATGCTATCCCCTTCTAAAGGATCCGTTGAGATTTCCAAGTGTAAAGCTAGCTGTTCTAAACCTCTTAAAAAGGTCATTTGACAAGTGAAATATATTACAGTGTAATCCTTAACTTTGGTCAGCTTTGCATAAACAAAGACAGTATTACTAATATCATCTCTAGAAATGGGTAGATTCAGAGCACATTCATGTTTCAATAAAACACAGTAGCAAAGAATGCAAATTCCTAATCTTTTTTTCAGTGACTTCCATACTCTTCTGTTCCCCTCTCCCCCACTGCCTCATTAGGGAGCAGTAACACAATATTCTCAAGCTAATCTCCAAATTGCATTTCTGCATTTTCATTTTGTTATATTAAAGAAGTGAGATGGGATGTCAAGGACAGTTTAGTAACTGCTATTACTTCCTTAAAAGCCTCATATCTGTAACTCGGGAAATTAAAAGCTTTCATTCTGAAATAAGAGTTAATCACTGAAGCAGTATTTCTGCTCTGTGACAGCACCTCCAATAACAATTACTTTGCCATCTGAAGTTCCACAATAAGATAACCACAGACCACATGTTTGTTCTCCCCTCAAGGGGACCTGCTGAGGATTTCACCAAGTGTTCAGTAATTCAGTTAAGAGCAACACGATGACATCTGTCTCTTTGTAGTAGGTAATGGGTAACAGAATTCATACTCTGGAGATGCTGCAACACATCTGTACTACTAAAAAGTATAAACCCCCTGAAAAAAAGTATAAGCATACTGAAACACACAACATGGTTGAAACAAACTGGGCAAATGAGTGTTCATATCTCCATTTTTCGACTAATTTTCTAAACAAACAGGACTTGTATAATCAGTGTTTTATTTCTCTCCTTCTGCCATTACTTGTTCATCTCTGACAATTTCAACCAAATACAAAAGCAGAAATAACTGTCCCGTACAACCAGAAGTCCCTGAAGTTAATTCATTTGTTCTGACATAGCTAAGAAGCATTAGATTCTTCAACTATCTCTTGGCTCTTCATTGCTGGACCACTCCGTATGTGAACAATTTCAAAGTGGACGTTACACAAACTATTTCTCATCCAGATGGCAGAACACTGAGAGAGGGAACAAGTTCACTGGGAATGGGGAAGAAAAGTGATGTTAAAAGCTGGAAGTACTACATTTCAGAGAGACCCTCTTAGGAAACTAGGGTCCAATCATTCTGCCTATCACATGGCAGCTTGCTTAAAGTGCTTTAAAAGCCACAAATAGCAAAGAGTTCAGTCTAAGCTTCTACTACAGCACTCATTCCTCTAATCCAAAGGATATGAAACAACATAGTGACTGCAAGCCAAGTAAAAGCAGCACCCAACTGCCTGAAGTGACTTGCCAGAAATGTATCCCACGTAAAAGATTGTTACAAAAAATGAAACTCTTCAAGTGTGAGTAGTATGTTCACACACACTGACTGCATGTAAACATGTCAATGGAAGATAAAGCACATGAATCTCAGCATAGTTCTCAACAATCATTCCTGCATGTGAAGCTTCTCTGAGTCTTCTAAGTCTCAGAGATTTTTCACAAATTTCAGTTCCTTTCTTACTGCGCATCTCCCAGTGCCTCATTCTTATTACACTAGTGCTATACATTCTCTTTCCTAAGCTAAGAACACAAGCATATAAAGCTATTTTCCACTTTCTCTATTTTTTCTGTCAACATTAGAATGACAGGCAGAAGCAGCAAGCATCTCAATTAAGGTAGGTGTCAGAGCTAGCTGGGTTTGAACTAAGCAGTAGCAATACAAGGGAGTGGCAGGTAATACTAGTTGGAGATTCCCTATTCCCTTCTGCAGAGGAGACACACACATCTGCTGCCAGATATGCTGGTGAAGGAGGTTTGCCCAGATTCAGCATGTTGAAGAAACTGCCGAGGCTCCTCTGACCCATGGACTATTAACTATTAAACTATTACCCCTTATTATTATCACTATTGCCTTTAAAAAAAGACAAAACAACAAAACCAAAAAAACCCCCAAAAAAACCCACAAACAAACAAACCCTATTACTATTACCTACTCACACAGGCACCCACGCTACTAAGAAAGGAGACCTCAAGCAAATCAGGAGTAACTAAAGAACTCCAGGGGCAAAGGAGAAGGACATGGGACCCCAGAGGATGTTTGTTCTCTTTGGCCTTTCATGTGAAGAGGAAAGGGCTTGTGGACACACATCCTACAAGGTAACAACTCTCTGCAGACTGGTACTGCAGGCAGTGTCTTAATTTTTATGGCCACAAGTACCGTTGAGAAATTAGGGCTGCTAAGTGAAAGACAGGATCCACTTGACAATGTGGGCTAGGAACATCCTCATCAAATCTGGTCACAAGCACTTTAAATGAGAGGTCTATCAGGGAATGGAGATAGATGCTTGCAATTAAGGGAGAGAATAGAGATTCACATGTTAAGTACATGAGTCAGGTTGGTGGGAGGAAGAGACACCTTAGCAAGGCTGAAACAGGTTGAAAGGGGAACCATTTCAATCACCTGTACACAGAACCATGACTCTGGAGTTAACTGAGACACGTGGGATAGCTTACACGACTGGACCTTTGTCATGGACGCACAGAGGCTTTTTAAGAAAGCCAGGAAGGAAAGAACAGCAGGTGAACTGCCCTCTACCTGAAGGAGCAGCTGTAACAGAAAAATCTGTTTTATGGGACAGGCACAGGCTGGTTGAGAGCTTGTGAGTCAGCATTAAAGGAGAGGTCCTTACGGACAACATCACAGTCCAAATTTGTTACAAGCCAAGGGGGAGAAAGCAGATGAAGTATTTTTCATCAATTCCAGAAAGTGTCTAAAATCACAGAGCGTGGTTATTATAGGACACTTTAACCTCCCTGATATCTACTAGAAGGGCAACAAAACAGGACACAAACAATCTAGGAGGCTTCTGGAAGGTTTCAGGGAAAAATAGCTGCTAAACCCATTTGATACTTTCTTAGAATTGCTTTCAACAAAAAAACAAACAAAAACCAACCAAACAAAAAAATCCAAAAAACCCAACCAAACAAACAAAAAACAAAAAAGGAAGGAAGAACTTGCTGGGGATGGGATCAATGGCAGCCTTGACTCTAGTCATCATGAAATAGTGGAGTTCAAAATCCTGAGGAGCGAGGAAGGCACATCCAGTATAGACCCTGCACTTCAGAAGGGCAGGCTGACTTATTCAGTAGGTAGAATTCTGTGAGACCCAGTTCTGAAAGGCAAAAGAGGTTGAGAAAGCTAGCAGGTATTTAAGGACAACTGCTTCTAGCCACACAAAAACTACATCCCAGCACTCAGGAAAATAAGTAGATCGATCAGCAGCTTGGCCTGAGGAGGAGGAAGCAATAACAGTCTACCAATGGAGGAATACAG